TTCATTATTATCTTCCGGATTCAACCAGTTATCACCCCACTGTCTTCAACCTCAAGCTCAGGTAGCTCCTGCCTTACATTATAAAGCACAACCTCAGCCTGGTACTCAAGGTCTCCAGCAAAGTCAAGTTTATGGGGACCTATGGATTCCATCCTGGCTTTAACCACATCTTCGAAGTTGCAGGTAACTGTGGCCACAAGACCGACTCCCATTAAGGCTAGCAGGGTGGAAACACATTCTTACAACTTAAATATTTGAGAGGAACGTTTGAAGGAAAAAGTATGAGATGAAGATAAACTGAACACCCCACCCACTGGAAAGTCACCTAAATAATCCTGCTGTGTTAACCCCACCTTGCCAGTTTCTTGAGTGGCTGCTTTCTAGTGACTAGCTTCTGCAGTAAGCCTCTTCTCTATGTGACATCATTTTCCCAGTCATTCTTAGAAGGCACACAGGATGGGGAGAAGGAAGGCCCTACATCTGTGGTTTCCTATACATAATACTTTCCCATTTATCTCGTCTTCGTAGTCCCATGAAGTATAACTGGGCGGGGGCTCTTCAGCAATTGTAAACACAGTCCCTGAACCATCATTTAACTGCTAACAACCATGAAAATGCACACCAAACCATATACTTTGCACCTCAAAGAATTCAGGGATGTTCCCCTCAACACAGGGACGAAAACTGGCATCGTTCCTCCTTGCACTACTTCAGGTAGCTTCACAGACCTTGGGGGACTCGGTATACTAAGTAAATGATCTCCACCCATCCTGATTAAAGTATCACTAAAAAGTAGATGGGTAAAAAGAATTGGAGCTGGCTAGCTTGGGACAATGTTTATAGCAAGTCATATGGACTATTTATAAATTGGGGTAAGTTGGAGAAAACAGCCAATTGGAAGTGTGTGTGTGTATGTGTGTGTGGTCTCACTGAAGACAGCATGAGAAACGGTAAGGGGAAACTACTGGGTTTTATTTCTAAGACACCAAATAGTGCCCCGCCTCCCACCAGTCTTTCAGCCCCCAGGTGTTAGTATTTATTCCTAAGACCAGAGTAGATATTCTTTTCCCAAGTTAACTTTACACAGCACGTCATTAAACCCCTAAACTCCGCAGACTCTGTCCTTCCTCCAAGTATTATACAAGGTGGCGATTTTTAGAAAAATACACATTGAAAAAAAAAATCCTTTCCTGTTCTCAAGCTTGGGTGCTTTAGCTCAGTTTAAGGGTGCTTTGTTGCCAGGGACGATTAGGGTGGCGCCCTCGGGACTGATTATAGTGGAGCTATTTGTACTGCCCACGTCTGGGCATTGCCATTATATTAAAACTTCCATTTTGGGGTATGTTGTGACTAAAAATTCTCTCCCAGCTTCAACTTGGCATCAACCATACATCTCAGCAGAAGCAAGATTATTGCATACAGAACCACAGGAACCCACATTTTTCTTCTTTCAGACTTGCTCAGGAAAAAAGACCCTGCTGAAATGCATGTGCAGTCCTTCATTCTCAGATGAGGTTTTTAGGCGTGCAGGGCTCTTTCGAAGGACAGTATAATCAGAAGGCTGCTAGGACTGAATTAAAGCAAATCTGACGTGATAGGCTACCGCCTCTTGCATTAATAGATCCTCCATTTCTGGAAGAATGAAATGGCATGCTCCTTAAGAAAACTTACGATCATTCTGCTCATATAGGTAAACAAAGGGACAGTATGTGTGCAGTCCCAGAGTTATAAAAATACTTGATTTATGAATGCTAATTTTACGGAGCAGCTACTATTTGCCAGGCTTTGTGCTTAAGGATGGTACATCCATTATATTACTTGAAAAAGCCTCAAAGTTAGCATTATTGTCCTATTTTATAGAATAATGGACAATTCTGACAGATTACTTGTCTTCTGTCTACAAGCAGACAGAATGTAAATAAAGGCAGGAGGCTACAGTTAGTGAGAAGGCAAGTCACTTGCTCTGTCAAGTTCTTAAATGTTTGGGGAAAGAACTTGAAGGTGGACCCAGGTGAGTCTACAATTCTATAATGTTTGGATGATCCCATCTTTGTTCATTCTCTACACCTTCCCAACCTCCAAGCTTAGGGGAAAATATCAATAGGATTCCCAAAGACATGGTGGTGGATGTCTTCAATCTCGGAACATGGGTACTTGAGGCAAGATCAGGAGTTCAAGGCTATAAGAGACCTTGCCTCAAAAAACAAAATAAATTTCAAGCTAACTGGAAGCCCACAAAAATACTGCTTAAAAAAAATAAATCAAACTTTGCCTGCAATACTGAGGACTTTGTATGTGCTTGGTAAGATAAACTTCGTACCCCTCCCAGAAGATACAGCATTGAAAGTGTAGATTAACCAGTGATTCAGCATACATTACAATCTTATATAAAATGACTTCTGAATATGTATAAGAAGCATTTATATTCCTACAATGAAACATTATTTTTGAGTATCCAAATTCAAAACAACCTATATTCCTGGAATAATAACTTCATGGCAAGGATAATAAAGTTTAGAAATAACTTGGAAAATGATGAGACCATTATTTTTATATTTTCAACACTTAACTACAGTGAACTACATATAAATTTGGTTAGCCAGCCTTGGTGACCTAGTCCAACAAATAGTCTTAAGATTCTTTTTTAAAAGAGCAATTTAGTAGTCTCACAATTTCCTATTATCAAAAAATAACTTTCCCTGAAAATCTGAATCTAATCCAAGAAGCATATCAATAGCCAGTTGTTTCAGGTTATTTATGATATAGGAAGCGATTGTGTAGGGGAAATAGGCTTACTGTATGGCCATGCATGTTTAATCAAGTCGGCAAAATTATTTACTGCTAATAAAAGCATGGAATATTCTGTGCCTGAGAATCTAGCACACTGGATACAGTATGTGTAAGCAGGTACTGTACTCGGCTTCCCCCCTGCTGGCAGACCCTAGTCACTAAAAGGATGAACCTCTTTCACTGGGACTGTATCGCACATCCCCACTAAGTATCTCCAGGCTGGAAAGCACTAAAGATCCAATCCAAAGCCAAATTATGAACAGAAAGGGAATTTCTAAAAATTATTTATCTACCCACTCCATCTCCCAAAGTCCCATATATGTGCACAGACTTTCTTAAAAGACCCTAGCAAAATATTGATTGTGCAAAACAAACACATCGAGACCTAAGACTAGATGAGGTCCCTGACTGGTATTATACATGCAACCACAGATATGAGTCCGGGTGGGTTCGAGCCCGGTCTGGGCCAATCCTCAACACGAGGGTGAAGACAGGAGGCATGGAGGAAGGAATGCAGGAGAGAAAGGAAGAAGGGGAGACCTCGGGGCCACACTTCTTTCTAGTAGCAACAAAAAGGGAAGACGCATACTGACCTAAATCATCTCTCAAAGGCGCTTTATAAATTACAGGGACAAAGGGAGGGGGTGGCGGGTGGCCTGGGAACCCCACAGACACCCTACCCTCTGACCCGCCCCCTCCCCCTTCAGCACAAGGGAAGCAAGACAGAAAGCAGCTCAACTCGGCCACGGGCGTGAAGCCCTCATCTGGGTTTCAATTGCCCATCCGTCCACCCCCCAAAAGAAACACACGTAAACACTATACCCACCCCGGGGGCGGCCACTCCCGCCCCGGGGCTCCTAAAAGCGGAGGCCGGGGATTTACTTAGTTAGATTTTTCTTGCTTACTCATTTCCCTCAAGCACCCAACCCCCCGTTCCCACTCCAAAACCCCGCTCGGTTGCCTATCCTCCGACTCGGGGCCCCCCGGGGATCCCGGGTCCCCGCGGCCGTGGCTCGGGCCCCCGCGCGGTCCGGGTCACTAACCTGCTGCTGTAAGGGCATTTCCGAAAGCAGCCTGGCTCCGGGGGAGGTGGGGGGCCGGCTGGAGAGGGGGCCCGAGGCCGAGCGGAGCGGCGGCGCCGGGCGAGGGCGGGCGCCGTGGGGGGGGTGGGGACGGGAGAGGGAGGGTGGCGGTGCTGGGTGCGAGGGCGCCGGGACCGTCCCAGGCCTGGGAGCCGGCGAGCAGGAGGAAGTGGGTGCCCCCTCTCCCCCTCCAGCGCCCCCTCCCGCCGCCACCTCCTCCCCAGTCACAGGCGCGTCCTCCGCGCACGTGTGCGAAACGTCACCGGCGGGTCCCGGAGAGAAGGGACAGATCCTGGCGGCGGGACGGGAACCCGGCTGCCCCCGCCCTCCGTCGCCGGGGGGCGGGGAGGGGGACAGGGCGGGGAAGGAAGGGGCAAGGGGAGAGGCGGGTCAAGGGCAGGCCCGGGGCCCGGTAAGCAAGGCCCCGGCGCTCCGGCCACGCGGGCGCCGCCGCCGCCACCGCGGAGATGCGCCCAGGCCGGAGCACCCGCCCGCCGGCCCCTAGTCACAGACAGCGCGAGCCCTGGCCCACCCGTGGATCGCAGCTCCACCTCCCCCACCGCGATACCCCTCCACCTCCCAGATCCCCTTTGTTGCCGGGAGCTAGGTCCCCAAAGGTGCCAGGCACTGGAGCCCGTACGCTCGGAGCACGCCTGTGGGACCCCCGGGAGCCCAGGGGTAGCAGAGGCCGAAGGGGAGGCAGACACGGCTCGGGTCCCCTAGTTTACAAACCCTGGGGTCCCCCACTCTCCAGTGCACTACTCCCTCCCCCACCCCCTTCTCCATCCGGGGCGTGACCCCTTCCTACGCCCGAGTAAGAGGAAGCTTCGAGTTGCAGGGGAGGGGAGAGTGGGGGTAGGGAAAAGTGCAGGAAAAGAAGGGGGGGCGCGAAAAGTTTTGGAGTGTTGAATGAGGTTCGCAAAGAGGGACTCCCCACTGTCCCGCGCGCCTGCCCAGGCCCCCAGGTCCTCCCAACGTCCGCAAGGAAGCACCCCAAGTATAACAATAAGCACACGCTGGAGGGACAGCACCGAGGCCCACGATGCTCAGCCTCGCGCTCACGCAGCCACCGCTCCCGGGAGCCCGCCTCCCACCTGGGCTAGGGACCTTGCGGAGGGAGGGTATTACCGGAGGGCCGCCGCCGCCGCCGCGTCCTGGTGCTGGTGGTTGCTGCAACAGCCCGGCTCTGCTGGAGGGTCCTTGTGGCGTGGTGTAGAGGAGGCTGCCGGCGGCCGGCTCCGCGCCGGGGACACTGGGGAGAAGGGGGCCGGCGGCCAGGGTGCCGCTTTGGAGGGAGGTGGCACAGGACGTGGTGGAAGGGTTCGTAGTGAGGATCTGGATGTACGTGCCCGGGGCGGCGGCGGCGGCGAAGCCGGGGCTGGCTAGCAGTGCCCTTTTGTCCATGGAGGCTGCAGCGGCGGCGGCGACAGCCGCCCCCTCCCCACCCCCGGCGGTCACCAGGTACTGCTCCAGGGCGGGCTGGATCCCCTTTCTCATCTCTCGCTCCTGCTCTTTTTTAGTGTTACGATATATTAACGTATTGCTTTCAATTTCTTTATTATTTGCAGTCGGAGTTTCCAAGTCTCTCCTTCTTGCCTCCCCTCCCGGCGCTTCCGAACCCTCTCTCTCTCTTTTCTTTTTTATTTTTCCGCACCGCACAGGTCCCGGGGCCAAAAATAATCGGGGGTCTGGAGAGAGGAGGGTCCCGGCCGCTTGGATATCAGGCCCCGAGGGGAGATGGAGGCGTCGGGGGCAGCCGATGCAACGGATTGCGAGGCGGCGGCGGCAGCCCGGGTGCTGCGGCCGGCAGCTGAAAAATGGCTCCAGGAAGCTGCTGCTGACAATGAATGAAGGGATACGGTTTACGCGCCAAGGTCCTCCCGCGAAACTCAGATTTCCCGCCGGCTTTTCAAACCATATTTGCATATCTCCTCCCCTCTGCCCGCCGAGGACTGTTCCCACAGTCCATTGGATCCCTGTCGCCTTACTTGGGTACCAATCCTGGAGCGAGGTCGCCACTGGCCGGTTTCCATTGGTCCCTATACATCATGGTTACCGGGGTGACCCGGGCTCTATTTGCATAGGCCAGCCTGATTGGCTGGAAGCAGAGCAGGCTTCTTAGGAGGTGGAGCAAAATCCTACTCTCCCACGGAAAGCCACGCCTCTCCCAGGCCCCTCCCGAGGGGCTGGCTCTGGTGACCTGGGCAGGGACTCTGCCTCGCAGACGCAGTGTGGAGATAATCTTGAGCGCAAGTTTCGGTTTTGGAGATTGTCAAGGTGACACCCTCGGGGACTCCTTTTCCTTTAACCAATCAGTGTAGTGAGTGAAGAACTGCTAGTGATTCTCACAAATACGTGTCAAAGGCAAGTTGGACCCGGCCTGGCAGGTGGAAAACTGAGCCCTTTAAATCCTGGGTTTCTTCCTTCCTGAATTCCAACCAATGGCGCGAGAGCGGATCCGGAGGCTAGGGCTGATAGACAGAAGCATGTGGGCAGACAGAACCGTGGGGGTAGGAGGTTCAGCTGACGCGACTGCAGGCCCACTTTAGTTCATATTCCAGAGCATTCCTGGTAGGCTTCATGATTAGCCCGAATTGGGTTTAAGTAAAAATTAACTCTTTTGTACAGTGAACTCGTACAGCAAGTATAGGTTGCAGTCTAACAGACACCCTCTCTGGCCCAGAAACACCTAGGGGAGCTAATCGGGGCTAACCTAGAACTGATCTCCGGGTTTCTAATCCGCCATGCAGTAATCCGAAGGACAGGCTTTTATGGTGACGTGGGACTGCCAGAGAAAGCTACAACCCAAACCTAACCTAACCTATTTTAAAAGAGAGGGAAAATGTGTGCATATATGTGTATATATGTAAATCAGAAAATGCCGTCAGGAAAAATGAAAAGGCTGTCCAGCTGACTTCCGCACTGAAGCAAATACTCATTAAAACAAAGACTGTGGGGCTGGAGAGGTGGTTCAGTTAATAAAATGCTTACCTGCCTAAGCAAGAGGTCCTAAGTTTGATCTCTACGACTCACATTTAAAAGCTAAGCATGACATGAGTGTCACCAATCCCAGAGCTGGGACATGGAGACCTGAAGATCCTTGGGGCTTGCTGGTCAGCCAGTGAAGCTGACTGGTAAATTCCAGATTCACTGAGCTTCCCTAACCCGAAAAATAAGGTTGAGAGCTATTGAGGAAGATATCTGAGGTTGACCTCTGGCTTCCATATGCACAGGCCTACATGTACACTCCTCACATGTACACGCAATGAAGAGTGTTTAAGACGGAGGAGGAAGCTGAGGGAAGATGTAGAGGGAAAGACCAGGTCTTCATTTAGCAGCTGAGAATTGTGCAAAACAGCTGTTGAGATATACGGAAAGAAATCATTCTACCTCAGCCACATTGTTTTTTTTTTTTTAATGTAGGGTGTTTGGTAGGGTGTTTGCTGGGTGATGAGGGTTGCATCACACTGAGTCCTGTCACCTGACTTTTGTTTATTATGATTATCACTTTACCCAAGCTGACATTCAAATCCTATAGGAAACTCAACAATTTGGGTCAGTTCATTTTAGGACCTTCTAAAAGTCCAGTCCTATTACCTTCTGTGAAATTAAAAGTACTATGAAGCTCTATACCAGGCTTGGGAATACTTTAGTTTTGCATTAAAAGCTTCTTGAGGATCCGTAGTATTGGTACATTTGAAGATTTGTGGACAGTGATAGAACCGGCTGTATTTGTAGGCTTGAGAAGTGGAATTCAAAAGGCACAAAAGCCTGGCTGAGCTAGAGGAATGATAGCAACTTCTCAGATCTTATTTCGTCACTGTTGCTTTGCACTGTGGGTCACTGTGGAGAAAGTGGATGCAGTAAGCTAGGATGCTGCCAGCTGCACACTATTACTGGTAACTTCCCTTTGGAGGTAGGGAGGTTATGGGGAGAGGTGTTGCAACATAGAGTCATTAAAGGGCTGCCTCTGGCCTTAGAGACAATACCAGATCCCAGACTCTGCCAGCTTGAGCTTGCAGTAGGTGGGAACAGTAAGGTAAGTAGGCCACAGCCTGGGAGTGTGGGGAGGGGGGGGAGGCGCTATGGAAACAGCTCAGTTGGTAAATCTTCAGGACCTGAGTTTAAGACCCTAGAATCCATGAGTCCTTGGTGGAGAGTTAGCAGATTTTAGTAGATTCACACTTAGGAGTCAGGAGAGTCTGGGTTTGAATTCTAGCTCTGCCAACTCCTGTTAGCCCCTTCCCCCTTCTCCTTGTTTTTTTTTTTTTTTTTAAATAAAGGTCAGAGAAAGGGTTCAGCTGGTCAAAGTACATTTGTTGCTAAGAGCTACAACTTAGAGTTTGATCCCCAGAACCCATGATGGGAAGAAAAAGTTGGCTTCCAAAAGTTGTTCTCTGTCTCTACCCTCTGCTACATACAACACATTTATTTTTTATTATTGTATTGTGGAGGGGGGGGGTGAATGATGTATGTGAGTGTTTTGGGGGTGTAGACTGCCAAAACAAGGATGTAGAGTTCAGAGGACAGCTGTGTGGGCTTGGTTCTCTCCCTCCAACTTTATGGGGACGGCAGTCAGCTCATCAGACTTTGCTGCCAAGCACTGTTTCCCAGTGAACCATCTCACCTGACTAGCTTCCGTCCTGACTAGCCTGCTTTCTCATAGGGTAAATGAAAGCTCAGATTCTGGAGCCCATGCTGCGAGGCGGTGCTGAAAAGAATCAATGGCACGCGTGTCGTGTGCTGGGAGCACAGCAGCTGTGAACTAAGGGACAGCCACTTAGAGTGTACTAATTCATACGAGTATGCTTTGTCCTTCTTTGTAGGCCAACCTGACTCCCAACCTCTATTCTTCGGAGAACTCCTGACCTCCTCTTGCTGGTACAACTTAGGGCCTTTCTTCTCCCCACTGAAAGTGTAGTCATGTCCTGGTGAATATGGATTATAGGACCCTGACTCAGAGACTGAGGGTAATGCTTAAAGTCAGCTCTGTTGTTCACCCACTTCAAACTGCTCATCTCTCAGTGGCCCACTTCTGAACCCTCTTTACCACCACCTCAACGTGGATTCCATGTATGTTCAGAATCGCCTTCTTTACACAGAGAATACCTGGAGATTCCTCACCAGAGCCTATAGCCCAGACCACAGTTAGGATCTTCAGTGTTCAACAAGGAAGGGTATGTTGGCAGTTCAGGTACCTGGGGAGTCGGAAGAAGGCATTGGATCCCTTGGAGCTGGAGTTACAGTGGTGCTACAGGCAGACTGCTTTGCCACCCACCATTCCCATTCGTTTACTCTGACAACCAGCTAGATGTCTTAGAATTAGCCTACATGTCTGATCGAGTGGCCCCTCAAAGGACAGGCCTACGTATATTCATTGGGACCTATGAGTGTGACACTATCTGTGAGAAGGTGGTCTTTGTAGATGTAACTATGGTGATGTTTGCCACCTCCTAGCTACATAACTTCCATCTTTTTTGTTTTGTTTTGTTTGTTTTCTTTCCTTTTGTTTTTCTGAAAAGATTATGGCCAAAGAGATGTTTCAATGGGTACAGGTGCACTTGCTGCTAAGCCCTACTATCTAAGTTTCAGTCCCAGAACCAGCACAAGGGAAAGAGATCTCAAGATATGATCATTTGGAGTAATCCCAGGGTACCCCCAAATCCAGCAGCAAGATAGATCCAGAGAGGAGCACACAGCCCTGTGAAGTTGGAGGCAGGTTGCAGCAAGCGACTGCAGTCAAGGCCCAGGTGGCAGCCACTAGAAGCAGAAGAGGCGGGGGGGGGGGACAGAGAATCTCTGAACCTAGAGGGAGCAGGGCCCTGTCAACACCTTGCATTTGGACTTTTGACCTCCAGCCCTGTGCTAGAAGACATGTCTACGGAGCTGTCCCTTTGTGGTGATGTGCATGACATCTTAGGAAACAAACACAGCCCGTTATCCTGTTTACCTAGCAGGTCAAGGCTCTCAGCTCCTCACTTTGTAGGTCTCCTGCCAACATACCCTTGCTTGTTGAACACTGAAGATCCTAACTGTGGTCTGGGCTATAGACTCTGGTGAGGAATCTCCAGGTATTCTCTGTGTAAAGAAGGCGATTCCGAACACACATGGACTTCAGGTACCTGGGGAATTGGAAGAAGGCATTGGATCCCTTGGAGCTGGAGTTACAGGCACTTATGGGCCACCTGACATGGGTGCTATAAGAACAGCAAACATGTAACCACTGAGCTGTTTCTTCTTATTCTTGCTCCTGTACCTAGGTGCTTCACTGTTTTCTAATCTCCCTCGTGTTCCCACCTGCCAGTTAATGGGAGCGCTGGATTCCCCTTCCTGTACACAATTTACATGCACATATATGCACACCTTTGCCTACAGTGTTAACCTGTTATCTTATAGCCATATAAAATTGATACTATCTTCTCTACAATTGTCCCTTTTCTATTTAGAAAAATAGTTTGTCAGCCCCTGTAAGCCACCCATACAAAAAAACCCCATAAATTTAACAGTTGTATGAAATTTCAATATTGAATCCTCAGATGGAAAAATCATAGTTTTAGGTGATTAAGGAAACCACTCATTAGCCCAGCAAAGGTTTAAATTGTGCCTTACACAATTTAATTACCACATCAAATTTAGAGTATACAGTATTAAATTTTAGCATCTGCAAAAGACCAGTTTTGTAGTTTAAGGGTTTTATCTAATAGTTGCCCACAAAGAAGTAACACTCTGTTTCAGCTTCCTGATTTAGAAGAAAGAGACAAGTATGTGTTCTTGAGGCACTAGCACATTAGACACCGATAAAAAAAAATGTCTAAATGAATAACCTAAAAAATTGATCATTACGTCATTATAGATAGGCGTGGATTGACCAGCATAAGGTTACTTGCCTTTGGCTCTTTGGGCAGGGAGATGCTTGCTGGCTCTGGGCAGGGCTTCGTTAAATATATCCTGGATAAGCTTCTGGCATACGGTGCTGTCCTCAGTCACATCTTGTGAATCTAGCTCATGGGTTGGGATCCAAGAATCTGCATTGTAAGCAGGGTAATTTTGGTACATGTAACCCACAGAATACACTTCAATACACACTAACTACAGACATTGGTGACCTAGCATCAATCTTTACATTATAAAATCGGTTTTGTGTGTGTGTGTGTGTGAAAGGTAAGCATAACAGAAATTCCCTTATAGATGCCATCTGTGATTCAGCTGCTACCACTGTGAGCACGACACTGCTGTAATGTGGACGGAAGTGACCTCTTTTACTTAAGTTCTTGCTCAGCTAACAAGTAGTGTGATGTCGACAAAATATGCTGGGCTCAGAGGAAAGGGTTCATCTGAAAGGGGTGTGTCTCCTCGACTTTCTAAAGCATGGTTTCATCATGATATTAGATACATGGAGAGAAATATAAAAATAAATGTATGCCTCAGTGGGTCATTATGAGACCCTTGTGATTTGCACTGAAGTCCAGAAGTAGAGCTCTGCCTGAGCTCCCTGAGCTCCGATTCTTGTTTGCCAGCGTGAACACAACTCTCCTTCCCACCAGAAGTAACCATGAGCCTGATGGGTACAGTCGTTCCGTCCGTGTTGTTTGTCGGTTTTCATTGAAACCGATGAGGAAGACAACTAAATGGAGGAAAGATTAATTTGGCTCTTGGC